ATTCTAAAGAAAATCATTTTATCTTTGAATTTTATAACTACTCAATCAACCTCAATAAAACTTAAAATTATATTTGTATTATTTTAATATTTTATTTTTGTTAAGAGAGATTTAGTTAATTTAATATTATAATAAAAGAATCTAGATTCTATCTCTTCTATGTAAATTTTGACAATACTAGATTTATACATAATAGATCATAATTTTATAATCATTAAGGATATAGAAGCCTTCATTTTAAAGCCTAATTTTAAAAAGAAAGTTTTATTTGAATTATATAGACTAATCTAATTTTCTTCTTATAGAAATAATATCATTCCTTTTAATAGTATTTTTTTAGGTATTGTAGAGTTATTTTTTAGATAACATCAAAAAAAATTCTTCAATTGTAGATCCAAATCTTAACTTTATTTCTTCCCTTGCAAAAAAAGTATTTTGCTTTTGTATTATATATATCTTTAATATGTTATATTTTATTTCTATGTAATTTTATTTTTCTTTTAAAGTAGATATAAATAAATATGTAAGAAAATAATATACATCTTATAATGGATATTTATTATATAAAATTAAAAATAATAAAAATTTGGTTTATAAAAAATTCACCATTCTTGACCATATATATCTTAGATTCTAATTTATGTTTATGGTTTAGAAATAAGATCCATTTAAAATCTTAATTCTAATAATTTGATGATTTAGAAATTGTTTACATTTTTTGATGATGTAAGAGAATTTGGAATTTGGACTTATTAAGGCTTCAAAACATATTTAGTTAATAATGTGGGTAACTTTTTTAAATATTCAACTAGTCATAATCTTTTTTAAGCTAATTAGCAAAAAATATTCTGAGCCATCTTGATAGAAGTTGGATATTAGAAATGATTTCATAATATTTTTTTATATTTTTTTATAAAAAAATAACACTTTATTAGATGAAGAAAATATGTAAAATATTATATATGAGAGAATATAATATTATTTTTAGTAATTACAAAACTTTCTACATTAATTTTTATATATTAATACTCAAGTTTTTTAAAATTATATCCACAAATAATTAATCAATTTCTTGTTTTGAGATATTTTTGCTAAAAGAAGTATTAAATAATTTAGGTTCTTCTTTCTTTTCAATCCATCACTAATTATACAAATCTACTAATGAAGTTTTTGGATTTTTCTTGTATTGCTAATTTATAGTAAACTTAGACCAATTAATGTTTAATTTAAATGCCATGTTAAATCATTGAAGGAAGTGAATTGATTTAATTATTAAGGATTCTTTAATAGTAAGATTTGAATCATTTTCATATTGACTTAAGATTTTCTTTTTCCTTTAAGTATATATATATATATATATATATATATATATATATATATATATATATATATATATATATAATCAAATTTAAAATTTTATCTATGAAATATTATAGGTATCATGCAAGTGAACAACCTTGTCTTATATCTCTTTATTATTCAAAATAATATGTTACATTTCTATAGATATATACTGATGACTTATCTTTAAGAAATAAAAAAATTCACATACCTAAAGTGGAAATAAAAATCCACTTTATTTATTTCTTTCAATAAAAAAAATTATTCTATCTTATCAATTACTTTGGAAAAGTCTAATTTTTAAAATTAAAAGTGGTTAAATAGAGTTTTCAGACTAATTGATAGTTTCTTGTATTATAAGAATATCATCCAAAATATATTCCAAAAGAAAAATAAAAAATAAAAAATAACTTAGTTGTGTGATTTCTATTAAGATTTTTAATTTTTAATCTTTTAAGTGTTTTGAAAAATTACTTATAGTGTGTATTGGGTGATAAAATATGTTGCCAATTTCTAAGCGTAGTATTATCTCATTCTTTACATAAAAGTATCATATTGTCTCCAAGTAACTTATTTGAAATTTTTTCCTCACAATAACATCATTTACTATTGTAAGATAATATTGTATGATAGTCATTACTGGTAATATTCGACTAATATTATAAAAATTCTACTCCTATTCTATCAAAATTTGTAACATTTTTATTTTTAATTTCTTTAATTTTTTTAGATCTCATCCAAATGTGATAGTTTTGTGAAGTTCTTATTTATTTGTTCTAAAACCTTCAATAAAATCTTTGCTAGTATATTTTTCAATACTTTAAGATATAGATTTGAATCACTTTTTTCTTAGTATAAGAAAAAAATAGATATCATAGAAAATCTTGTGAAGTAATGGTAGATTAATTACTTTTATTTTATATCCATCATAAAATTCTAATATTTGTGATTTAAGTGTTTTTTCTTTGACTGTTTTAGAAAAACCTTTGAATCTTTTGCCTCTATTTATTTTCTTCTTTATTCTTGATCTTATCTAGTGACCTTTTTCCATCCATTCAAGAACTTTTTTTTAATTGTTCTTCACCTTGTTGGTTTTGTGGCTCATCTTACAAAGTCACATGCTTTGTTTCTACTTCACTATTATAATTTATTTTTTTTATATTTTAAAAAAATATTTAATCTTTACTAAAATATTTGTAAAATATCACAAACTTTCTGAGTACATAGAAAAAATAACTTCTAGATTAATATGATCTTCATATTTGAATAACATTGGCTTAATCTACAAGATCTTTGAATTAATATAGGTTAAATTTTTATATATATTTTGGTTTGAAGTTGGAATAAGTTAAAATAGAACTCATGAAAAGGTGATTAGATAAACTTATGTCAACTTTTATTTTGTATTCTATATATATATATATATATATATATATATATATATATATATTATAATTGGCTCAAATAATTCCTATAAATGATATATATAATTAGGCCAATATTTTTATTCTACTATTTAATAATTGTTTAAGTATCTTTTTTAGAATAGAAAAAACTTCTATATTTTATTTAGATTTATAATATTTTTAGGTGTTTTTTCAAGTCAATTCTTTTTTATTTTATAATAATTTAATTACTGCCATTAGATAATAAATTCAAAAATTATTTTTGAAACTAAATTTCTTATTATACTTATTAAATGCACAAATAATAGCTATTCTCAAATATATCTATTAAAAATTATTTAATATCATTTATAATGCTCAATTATTTATTAGAAATAATTACTATCTTATGTTTTAATTATGACGAAATTACACACCTTACTTATTCTAGAATTAGTAAGGTTTTTGACATTCATAAAGAATTCTTTTATTACATGAAAGCCAATCCCATGTTAGATTATATTTCTAATTTTTAAAGTTCCTTTAGTATAGAATTTGTGTTTTTATAAGATAATAATATTATTATAATTTCCATCTCTTCTTTAACAAGCTACTTCTTATAATTAATAATCTCTTACAATTAATATTATTTTTGCAACATAAGATATTAATCAATTTAAAAAAATTATATATACATATATAAGTATTTAAAACTATCATTGAGATTAGATAAAAACTATCTTTAATTTCTTTAATTTTACAACGAAATGTATTAATTACATACGTTCAATTCAAAAAAAATCTTTTCAAAGCTCTTAGAAAGTGAGATTATTTAAAATGAGATTATTTTTACTATATTGTTTCAAAATCAAAATTCATAAAAAATTCATCTAATATTAATAAAATAAGAAATTTACAGTCTTTATTTTTAACAATATAAATATTTATTTTAAAGATCAAACATGTAAGAAAATAAATAATTAATAATAAATTAGAGATTATTTAAATAATTAAAAATAATAAATATATTTCAAATAAAACTTTAAATTATAATTTGGGACAGTTTTTTTAAAATAAAACATAAAAATAATATCTATATATATAACTTATAATATTTTATTTTAAATACATTAATTTTATTTTTTAGTACAATTTCATATTAAATATAAATAAATAAAGTTTTAATTATTTAACATTATCTATACACTTGTGTTAATTGATTAGAACCTCAATACAAAAAGACATTATATAAATTATAATATAGTGATATGATTCATATGTAAATCTAATCCACATTAAAAAAATATTTTATATGTTTCTTGAGAAAAGTAATATCTTTTGCAACTATTTCTATCTCCTTCTACTTATTTTTACATACATAAGTTTCTTTACATTGTACAAATTTTTGTAAGATAAAAAATCTTACTTACTTAAATACAAACTTCAATTCTATAATTAAATTTAAAAAATAATAGCACAAATAAAGAAATAAAATCCATTATATAAAATAATAACAAACTAGAAGTGTAAATCAAAGACTTATTTAAAGTATAATATAAAATATAATGAAAAAAAATAAATTTATCAACTTTAAAGTCTAATATTTAAGTAATAAAAGTGAAAGACAAACAACCATATGACTATTTTATGTAAGTTGTTATTACATTAGTTAGAACTTATGAAGATATAATCTTTTATTAATAAGAATTGTAAAAACCATTGTATGCTTTGATGCAAAGCTTCAAATCCTAATAATTTTTTTGAATCAATTTTACTTAAATATATATATATATATACAAATTTGGGTGAAATAAACCTTGAATAAAGTCTTATACCACATACAACAATATCTAATGCAACATAGTCAGAATCTGACAACTAAAATATATATCACCAACTTTTTTCAATGCTATTTCACATACTTTTAATACTACTACATGTAATCCTTTGGTAGTTTAAGATCATTTCAAACTAAGTTTAAAGTTCTTTTTATTTTAATATCTAAACTACAGATTGATTGCATTACTGCAATCCAATCCAAACAATTCTGAAGTTAGCCACATAGTTTGTCTCATGTTTGCACTCTAACATGAGAGAGAGAGGTAGAGGACTAAGACACCCACGAACACACACACTGCAACAACATGAAAGAAAAAAGGTGGGTTTCCAAAGAGCACTGAGCAAAGCAAAGCAAGCTTATGCAATGCTAATACTAGAACTACTACTATGCTAACCGGGGCTCCACTTCGGCGTCGTCAGTGAGTGAGGGAGGGAGGGCGTGGCTTCCGAGGAGCAGCCAAAGATGGGGCTTTTGGCTTTGCTTTGCTGCACCTAAGTGGAGTTTCGTCATTTTCTTGCCCCCAAATGTGCTGGACACATATTAAGATTCGTGTTAGTTGTTGTTGATTGTTGTTGTTTTGTGTGTGTGTGTGAGAGAGAGTGAGTTAGAGAGAGAGGGTGTAATTGCAGTTGGTTGCCATGGGAATGAATCAGGTTTTGCGATGATGTTGGGGTCCAACTCGTGGTCCTCCTCCGCAATGTACCCTCTTCGTCCACGTCGATCCAACGACGGTCCTGCACTGAATGAATGAATGAATGCCTCCTTGAACCCGCTCTTCCTGAGACATGAATTCCATGGACCCAGGCTGCGACGACGACGACGACGGCGGCGCTCTCTGACGACAATGACGATGGCCACGATTTGCAGGCCCTCGATCCTTCTCACGTGAATCCTCTCCTTTTGCATGGTTTTCGTGACTTGTCGCCTGATTGAGGAGGTCATGCTTGCGATTTGCAAGTGATCATGGCCCTCCTCTCTCCACTGTAGTTTAGTTGACTCCGTTGTGGGGAGCACTGGTGTCGTGGTCGCATAGCGCAGCCTTCAGGATGATGGGCATTCCAGCTCATTTGCAACGTTTCCGGAGTCCAAGGTTTGCTAAGGCTTTGTTCTCAAGAAACCGTCTTAGTTAGGTTTATCCAACCCTGTTGCGTTTGTGGGTTTTAGAATTCTGGACACGCTTCACGAATGTTTTCTGGATGGTAGCAGCCGTGAAGGCTAAGGAATCGCTACATTGTAGTTTTTGCGGTAGGTTATGCTTTACAGAAACTCTCTGGCGCTTCTTTGGTTCTGATTGTGCAAGGCTCTGGTGCTGCTGTGGGTTGTGCGACAAGCTCTTTTGTTTTAATAGAGGCAAAAAAGAAATCAAATCAAATTAAAATAAAATAAAAATCGGTTTTCCTCTGGTTTTGCTGAAGTCTTCACTCAATTCTTCTCGTTAATGTTGGCCAAGTCTAATGAGGCAGATCTTCTTATATTGGATCTCTCATTAGATGTTCCCATTTTTTGATTGCGAGATTGAACTTCAGGTGTTGTTGCTCTTCTCTCTCTCTCGCTCTCTCTCCTCTGTCGGCCCTGTAATTAGCTAAATTATAAAGATAGGGTTCATTCTCGCCTCAATATTTTCCTCTGCCTCATGCCATGGCCATCTCTAGTCCGCATGTTGGCCCTCTGAGGTTAGTAAGCCCCACTACCAAATTAATTACAATACAATCTCCTCTCTGTTGCTCGTTTATTAAGACAAGCGCTCATCTCTCTCCGCAGCTTTGTGTCTCATTTCCTCAGCTGCAGATGCCTGAGAAGACAACAACTCGTGGGAGTGTCCGAGATGTGCTTGCTGCTGACGTCCCACCAATTTTTCAGAAAGATGTTGCGCAAACAGAGGAATACGATGCCATAGTGATAGGTTCCGGCATCGGGGGTCTTGTCACTGCAACTCAACTGGCAGTTCGAGGAGCTCGGATTATACTTCTCGAGAAATACGTTGTCCCTGGTGGAAGCTCCAGTTATTTCTTAAGGGATGGCTATACTTTCGATGTAGGCTCATGTGATGTTCGGGTTCAGTGAAAAGGGATCCATAAATTTGGTGACAAAATCCCTGGCAGCCGTGGGACGCTCATTGGAACTGATCGAGAACCCAGTAACTGTCCACTACCACCTCCCTGATGGTTTGTCATTGCGAGTGCACCGGGAGTACGACAAATTCCTTGCCGAGCTCATCACCCGGTTTCCTCTGGAGGAAGCTGGCATCCGCGCCTTCTATAACGAGGCTTGGAAGGTGTACAACTCCTTGAATGCGTTGGAGCTCAAGTCTTTGGAGGAACCTCTGTATTTATTTGGTCAGTTTTTCAAGGATCCCATCGCCTGCTTGACCCTTGCGTACTATGCACCTCTGAATGCAGGCGACATAGCAAGGAAGTACATGAAGGACCCCAACCTATTGGCCTTTATAGACGCCGAGTGCTTCATTGTGAGCACTGCTGGTTCCTGTCGGACGCCCATGATCAACGCCAGCAGAGTAATGTGTGATGGGCACTACGGAGGAATTAACTATCCAAGAGGAGGAGTAGGGCGGATTGCACAGGAACTCGCAGATGGATTCGTGGAGTGTGGCGGTCATTTGCAGTACAAAGCCAACGTGACGGGTATTCTGATAAAGGACGGCAAGGCAGCCGGAGTTCAATTGTCGAACGGGAAAGCAATCCATGCCAAAACCGTGATATCAAATGCGACCAGATGGGACACTTTTCAGAAATTGTTGAAGGAGGAGGACATGCCGCAGGAAGAGAGGAATTTCCAGAATCTCTACCGGAAGTCGCCATCTTTTTTGTCCATCCACATGGGCGGAAGGCGGAGGTTCTGCCGCCCCGGCACAGAATGCCACCACCTAGTACTCGAGGGCGAGTGGTCGAAGCTAGAAGAGGCGTATCAGACAATCTTTGTGAGCATTCCGACTGTTCTCGATTCTTCCCTAGCGCCGCCTGGACGCCATATCCTTCACATCTTTACCACATCGTCGATTGACGACTGGCAAAGCTTGTCTCCAGCTGATTATGAAGCGAAAAAGGATGTGGTCGCGGACAAGATTGTGAGCAGATTGGAGACTGCCCTATTTCCAGGTCTAAAAGGTGCCACAATGTTTCGTGAGGTTGGCACTCCTAAAACACATAGACGGTATTTGGGGCGGGATGACGGTACTTACGGGCCCATACCAGCTGGGTGGCCCAAGGGATTGCTTGGTATGCCTTTCAACACCACAGCTGTAGAGGGATTGTATTGCGTGGGTGACAGTTGTTTCCCAGGTCAGGGTGTCATTGCTGTAGCATTCTCTGGTACGATGTGTGCTCATCGTGTTGCTGCAGATCTTGGATTTGAGAAAAAGAATACTGTCTTGGACAAAAGGTTGAGCTCTCTCTTAGCCTGGTTCCGGACACTTGCATAAGGTTCCACATCCGAAGCTCATGAAGTGAGGGCTTTCTCAACCACAATGGAGGTTGTTGATGAAATCCAAACGTTCTTACATTTCAAGAGATGTTACATTCAAACCAATCCCAGGCTTTTTACTCCCACAAAGCACCAGCTAGAGGATATCATAGAGATCAAGGGAATAACACCCTCAGCATTATTCTATAGAAATTAGGGCAGTTGGCATTCTGAGTACAGCAGCATCAATGGATTTGAAAGGGACTTGGTCTGGAAACTGCCGATTCTTCGTCGACGAATCCATCCTCAACGACGGAAACGAATTCGAATGAAGTGTCTCTCCTCAGCTTTCATGTGCAGATGTTCAACTGACATCATCGTTGTTGAAACGGCTGCTTTGCTGCTTCTCTCACAACCAGCCATGTGTCATGACTTGAACTTCACTCCGTACTGAGAAACGTACATGACGAGTACAAAACAAGTGGGTACTTGATTTGACAATCTTTTTCAATAATCTTCTTGGTACTCTCACAGCGCTGGGCTCTCTTGTGTAAACTGGGGTCTACCTAGTGAATCTCCGAGACATGTTATTAGGCCCATGAACTGGACGATTTCTTCCACGTAATTCCAGGTGGTTTAGTATAACTATCCTAACCTTTTCAAGAGAATTATCGACGTTTTATGGGGCTCCTTCCATCTCGAACAAGAGCAATCACAAGAAACATTCTAGGCAAGGATGAGGACCTGGGAGGTGCGGAATTGTTACTGATTAGCTCCTCCATAGAGTCTAACCCATTCTGGTAGAGCTGTGGATCAGATGTTGAGCTTGTCATTCGTGGGCGAAACTGATGCTTTGAGGCTTGAGAAATGTTGCCTGCTTTGCATTGATTTTTAAGGAAATGCTGCATATCGGGGCATCTTCAGACTGATAGAGTACTCTTAAAGATGGTGGATATCCAGTTATAGATTACTGTATGCTAGTCAATTCGGTGATTCATCTCTTCATTCTTTCGTATATGTAGGTATGTAACTGGGATTGTGTGTACATGTGTTTTATAAATTGTTGAATGTCTTTCGAGTAAAACATTAAAATCAGTTGTTCGTTCTTTTGCAATATAAAAGATCAACTTGAAAAAAGCTAAAATAAATACTAGAAATTTTAACATGAGTTTTCCACAAGACACTGTAATTAGTACCTAGCAGAATTACATGCTTTAATTCAATAGTGTTTTACATCACCAATTTTACAAAATAAATGTAATTGCAAATGATTGAAGTTGTTTTTATTATCTTTGTACTACAAAAGTAAGTTGTATTACTCAATTTGATACAACTACGGTTTTTACTCTTTAAAATTCAGTGTTGGATAATTCTCCAATAAAATCTATTATTATAATTTTAATTTGTGGATCTCACAATTTTAAATATACATATATATATATATATATATATATGCACACATTTTTTTTTCGTTCTTTCTACAATCAGATATTTTACATGTCAGAATTATAATATCAACTATAAGTTTAAAATTATCTTTGAAAATGTTTTCATGACAATTATCCAATTATACACAAGTAAAAGAATATTATAATTAGATGCCATATTTATTTATGTTTCAATAGGATTGTTATTGTTCTTTACTTTCAATGTAATACAATTTATATTGTATATTTTAAAATCGTTTTACTTCTAACGTTTTAGCCAAAATCATACATGTATCATACACATATTAATGAACTTATTAAAATAAATTATTATTTTTTCTTTATAGAATCCCTACTAGCTTAAAAGCTTTTAAATTAATCTATAAAAGCCACAAAAAGCTTTTATATTAATTGAATGGCATGCTATGATACTACATCATATATTCAATTGTCTTAAGTAAAATTTAAAATTTGGCCTTACTAACATTATAATAATATTTTTAATTGATTTTAATTAGATTATTTTTTTTTTAAAAAGTATTTTAAAAACTTAGAAATTCTTATCTTAATAAAATTATATATTTTTATAAACTTCTCTAAATTATCTCATAATATGAGGTTGTTATGAGTAGAAGTAAAATACAATTCCTATGATTTCTAAGATTTCAACTAACTTGCTATTGTGGCAATTAAATGCAAGTTGAAACTAAATAACAACAAAAATGAACTTGACATAAGTTAAATACTATTAAGTTGTATTTCAAAAATCTCAAATATATATATATATATATATATATATATATTCTTATATATCAAATTTGAATAAATATATTTATGCAAAGAAGATAAAATATTCATAGTAAGTTTTTACTATACAAGAATCCAACAAAGTAATCAAATAGTGATAATAAAACATTCAAATGTTTTTTATCCAAAAGAATAATAAGATTTGATAATCCACTTGAAATTATTTAAGGTCATATTGATTTTATTTCTACTTAAGATACTCACAAGAAGAAGAGTCAATATTTTGATCTTTTGGTTTATTTTCTTTTTAAAACCTCAAAATATATCTTCTTATAAATAGTTAGAATAAAACTCAACAACCAAGCTATTTAAATGGTTTTATTTTTAAATAAACAAATAAATAAGTGGACAAAGTACACCAATTAAGTTAGTAAAGAGAATCTCAACTATTTTTTAAAAATAAACTATACCAATCAAGTTGTTAATCTTTTTTTATTTTTTTATTTTTTTCTATAGAAGAATTTTACGATATACTTATTTTATTGTTTGATTAGTTGAAGTTTTCAGGAGTTATAGTCAAATGTTAAAAAATGACCACTTGTGTAGTAAAGAATTCTTTAATTTAACAATCACGTTTCACATTTGACCATTCAGAATACAAAAAATAACTTAATATGAAGTTGAAAAAATAGTAAATCAAAATGCTCTTTATGATTACAATTGACCATAATGCCAAATCCCAAATTCCATTCTCCTTAAGCTATCCAAGTAAATCATTAATTGTAGAAAATAATTATTATGGCAACTAATAATAATCTAGATAATAGATATCTTCTCGATGCAGTTGAAGCTGTGCTTTGCAAGTAGTTGGTTGAAATTATGAGAAGATGATTCAGCAAAGTGGAACACAAGATGCAAATTAGATGACATGAAATGTTGTAATTAATATTAATGTAAATATATATATATATATATATATATATGTATATATGTATATATATAATCTTATATTCAAGTATTGGTTTGGGGTTGTCAAGATAAGATCTTTTATAAATAAAATTCTGTGGAGGAAATTCTATGTTGTAAGAAGTTGTATAAAAGTAATAGAGAAATTGTTATTTAAATAGATGTGTATGTGGAACAGAAGATATTAGAAGCATTTAGCAACCACCACTATGTAAGTCAGCTTAGTGAGATACTATCTTTTAAATTTGCACGTGGTTGTGTTGGTTTTCTAGCATATATTAAATCTTAGAAATCAAAGTAAATAACAAGGTGCTATTGATTACAAAGTAGATACAAATGCAAAATCATAAATATTTTACAAAGTCCATCTTTAATGATGAATTTTCTAAAAACATAGACTAAGTTAAATTCCTATATTTTTTATTCTAAAAGGCTTTTTTAATTCTTTAAAGTTGTGTTACAAGCTTTAGGAACTTTAAAAGAAATCATAGGAGATGATCAGAATAAAGATTGTTAGTAGTACAAAGATTATAGTTGCTACAAAAAAGTTTATTTTTTGACATTATCGTCAAAAATAGTTTTTATAAAAAGAAAATAAAACAGAATCCATTAAACTGATTTAAAATATGATCTGAAAAGAAAATATATATATATATATATATATATTCCTTTCTAAAATAGACTAAAATATTTTACTTAAAATATTTTTTAACATTATGAGAAGTTATAATGTTTTTATCTGTTCTAATTAGAAGTAAGTATTTAAATGTAATAAGAAGATTGAAACTTTTTAAAATACTTCATGTGATAATTTTGCAAAATAATTAAAATTATTTACTTTAATTTAAAATTTTGAAAATAATTTATTCACACCAAAAAAAATATTATTAAAAAAAAATTGATATTGAAAGTCTACAATGAAGCATCTTAAGAATATTTATTTCATAAAACTAAAAGAATTTGATTTTTATGAAGTTTTCACGAATTTTTACTAAATGGCTCAATTGATTTTTCGATAAATTAATTACTTTCAAAGAGCTATTACAAAAGCATCATGCAACTTTGATACTTAGCCTGCAAGCCTTATTGTCTTTACATGGCATTCTTATAAGTTTATGTGTAAACAGAGATATATATATATATATATATCTATACATACACACACAAAATTAGGAACATGTCAAAAAATTATCAATAATTAACAAAAATTCTACTGTATTTTAAATTCACCAAACCTCTCTAGTATTTTGTACTCAATATCAGCCATCCTAGAACTCTTTGTTTTATAAAAGTATCTATTATTGGTCTTTTTCCTTCTTTCTTACTATAGATCAGGTGTTTTGGTTTTAGGTGTATAAATCTAGTCTTTTGTTGATAAAAATAATTTAATCCAAAACTTCAATAGATAGATAAATATGGATGGATTTGGAAAAATAAATAAAAAAAAAAAAAATTAAAAACTGTATAAACATTCCATTTGGTTTTTTATGAAAATATTAAGATGTCAACCAGAACTTTACCAATAAGAATAAATAAAATAATATTAAATATTAAATATTTTACACACTTAAACATGGTTGGCAGAATTGAAAAATTAAACTTCATTACCATATTTAATTTTTATTTCATTTTGAGGTAGTTCTGTCAAAGAATTAATTAAAATAAATTTGACCACCTTAAATTAATCAACTAATTTCTATTTCTAAACCTTTTCTATATATATATATATATATATATATATTGTATGTACTTAAATATGTAAAATTGATTTATACATCATTTAAATGGCACACCCACATCTCATATTCTAGGGTAGTTTCTTTTAATGAAATTATTTAAATTTTAGAATTTTTAATAAATAAATATAGATTTTCATATTAGGCTAAAAGAATATTCTAGAAGTAAAATATTTCATTTTTTACTTTTTAATAGTTTCACATGATGCAACAACCTGATATTCAAGATTTTCCTTTGCAAGACAAAAACTCGTATTTGGATTTCTGAATTTGAGTGCATCATTGAGTGGATTCATATTAAAGGCTACTATCTTAATTTTTTTGAAAATACTAAATTAAATCCTCTAAAATTTAATATGTAAGATGAATAAGATAATTTATATGTGTTGGATTTCAAAGGTAAGTGAAATAAAAAAAAAAAAAAAAAAGTAATAATAACATTTCAAAAGGAACTTAAATTTTTGTGGTCATACCCCATTTGTCTGCAATGACTGGAATTGTTGAGAGTGTTCAACCAAAAAAATTGATATGAATAATTCATTTTGAAGATAAGAAAGGGCATTGGACAATATGCAGGACTAGGTTTGTAGAACCAACATTCTGATTGCAGAAATAAAAAGACATGCAAGGTGTGGAAAAAGTCATTAATTCAATTTTGAAGAGAAAGAAAAAACTAAACTTGGCAAAGGATTTGAAGTGTGACCATTACTTTTGAGTAGATTTAAGATATCCAATAGTGGTAGGGGACCTTCAAATGAGAAACTTTAAATGGACTCTAAATAATGCCTCAACTTGAAGGATTGCCATAAACTTGCAAAATACATTCATTTGATTATCACCTTGACTGGATGTCTACGAATTTTTACTTATTTATAGTGTGTTTATAGTTTTTATTTTTATATATATATATATATATATATATTAGTGATGAAAAGATTAAATAACTGAAAATAAGTAAATGAGATTAATTTGGACAGCATATATTTATTCTCATTTTGGTGTATTTTTTAATATTCTAGTTTTGCGAATTATTTTATGAGAAGAAATGAAATGAAAATCATTTTTCAGGTTCAAATTCAACTGGTTAGTTCACAAAAGACAAGTCAAAAAGAGAAAAAGTTGCATGAGAGACAATCTAAGAAAACATATTAGATGAAAAAACTTTAAGCCTATCATACTTGATTCATAAGTTTTAATTCCAGTGGCTT